CCAGCCTCTCCATCCTCCCAGCCTCTCCATCCTCCCAGCCTCTCCATCCTCCCAGCCTCTCCATCCTCCCAGCCTCTCCATCCCATCACCGCCTCCTGTTTCTGCATGTTCTGGTTCTGTTTAACATTAACTTCTGCATTTTGTCTGTTTGGACTTTTCTCCTGATAGCATCTGTTAATGTTTTCTACGGTAAGTTCATCTTCATTCCTCCCAGCTGTAGTCCTTTCTCCTGCTATTTTTCTGCCACCTCGCTGCTTCCTGGTGAGCAGGAACCAGAACCAGAACCCGGCCCGTCCTGCTGTCCTGTCATAACCCTCCCAGTGTCCGTGCTGTCGGCTCAGTCTAGCATAGGCGGCGCTCTGAGCTTCCCTTGTCTCTGGAAATAACCTGATACGGGTCTGCAACCCAACACCAGCTGTGAGGCCCCGGGCCGTCTGAACCAGAACCTCGCCCAGCGTACACGGCTGCAGCGGGGGGGCGGGCCGCGTCTTTATTTACTGCAGAGCTCTGAGTCAGGAGCTGCTGTCAACAAACTGTGACTTATTTCCAGCCTTCAGGCTTCTCTGTGGGAAGTTTGAAATGATCAGATTGAAGCAGCTCAGAGATAAAAGTTAGAGATTAATTTGGGTGAACAGAACCTGCTGATTGGACCTGTGAGGTTCCTCTGAGGTCTGATGGAGTTGGCTGCATCTGATCCAGGATGGAGTTAATGTCTCCTCCACCCGCTGCAGCACCCCCCTCCCCACCCCCCTGCATTGCGACACTGGCAGCCCCACAAAGGGTTCTCCGACCCAGAAACCACTCAGCAAATGTTCCAGCTTATGTAATCAGCGCTGCGACAGGAGCTCAGATCAGCCTCATTGATCTTCTGCTGCCTCACAGTTTGGACCAGAAAATGCTGCAGCTTCAGAACCTCTTACTGTTCTGTTCTCCAGAACCAGAGATTCTGGATCAGAACACTGTTGTTTTCAGCAAAGATCAGTAAAGATCTATTTGGACCTCAGTGGTTCTGCCTGATGGTTTCAGCTGCAGAATTAAACAGCAGTTTCCATCCCGTCCTGGTCTACATGGTTCCTCTTTGTGTTCATTACAGTGAATCGCACTTAGGGGCTGATGGGAAATGGAGTTTTCCTTTGATCCAGTTTCACTCTGATGGAATCGATTCTCAGATGCTGCTAAATGTTAAAAAAACAAACACAAATTTCAGTAGAAACTTCAAAAGGATCCAATGAGGGAATGGTTGGTGTTTCTGCAGGAAGCAGACTGGTGCTGCTGCGCCACCTGCTGGTTCAACGCTGCCACTG